ATAAATAAATAAAAAATAAGAAAAATAAAAAATAAAAAGAAAATAAAAAGAGAAAAAAAAGACCAACCACTCGAAATGATGAGACTTCCCTCACGCAAAGTAAAAACAAATTAAAATAAAAGACTTTTGGACAAAACAGACGCCTTCCAAATGCAGCTATACCATGTAAAAATCAAATGGCGCGCGTACTAAAAGATCTTACTAAAATTTCACAGACCTGTCATTAAAGGAGAAAGAGCTGTTTTGCATCATATTTCCTACCAAAACTAAACCACTACACCTACTTCAAGCATCTTTAAACAGTAACGACGCTACAGCAAGACATAGAGCAAAAATAGAAGAAACTGTTCCACGACTGAAGGTCAAAGAAACCTATATAAAAGCGAGTAATCGGGACTTTCATCCTAGAATATAAAAGAATAAGAGCTAGCAGACAGTAACTATCGGATTACGGTAAAAAGACAAGAAAATAAGAATCGAAGAAATGAAGTGAAAAGACGGTGTAGCCAACATACGACTCTAACCAGTGCCCCAGTCTTTTGCAACCTTCTTGACTGTGTAGTGGCACAACCAGAAAACCAACAAAATGTGATAAGGTTAAATACAAGACTCAACATAGCACAAACTGAATGAAGAATTCTGGAGAAAAAGCCTGGTCTTTTCACACAGCCACGCACGATCTAGCAGCACGTGTAGTAAGCTATAAAACAGTTTTTGAAAAGCAAGCCAACTACTCATCACTGACGTTGCCGACTACACCATCCAGAATGTACATCCCGAGTAGGAAAAACACTAATAAATCTGCTCCAAGACTAGAACATTTCCATAAAGCCATATTTACTTGGAGTAATCGGAAGTACAATGTCCTTTAGAATTAAAAATGAATGAAATTTATGTGAGAGACAATACATCGAAAAAGATAATAAACGGACATTGACTGGAAAAAAAATGTGCTTACGGAACGAAAACATGAACGAACGAGCATAAGAGTCAAAAAACGTCTACCTTGTTCTATATTACACAAAGACGTGCAAATGAAACATTAAAAAGTATGTTGTCTGTCTTTCCACCATATCAACAAACTCAAATAAACCTAATGACAAGTAGAGCTATCTTATACCAAATTTGATTTTCAAACTAATAAAATGACCAAAGTAAAACACTGAAACTCCCAAATCTTTACTACCTATCCTATTCATAAAATTTTTGACGCCCAAAAACTACTCTTCAGACCTACACCAAAAGAAGCCAACGGATACAGCTAAAAGCTGATGATCAAACAAAAAACAAAAAAGATAAAAAGGAAAAAGCAAAGAAAAGAACAAATTGTTACTGCAACAAGTTTTACACATTTTTCAAAACAAAAATATGCACCTGGATGGTGAGTGAGATTAATGCACGTCTAGAGACAATTCTGAAGTTTTTTTTTTCTAAAGACAAACGAGAGGAATAACAGAATGCTAATCCAAGGAACTAAAAATAACGTTAAATAATTTAATACCTAAATGCATTTCTACTTTATAAAATATATAACCATCTGAAAGCCGCAAAACTCCCGTTCAATAAAAAAAAATGTAGCACTGCAATCATCATGAAGAAAACCCCTGCTGCCAAAACAGAAACGAGCTTACTTGTTCGGATACTTTACTTATCCCACTTACAAAATGAAATACAAATAGCTGTGCCTGTGCTATTGGAAAAAACTTCATGAGCACCGTGCTTGTAAAAAACCTAAGATAAACCTTATCTGCAAGGAATAAGACTAGCAAATCTCTGAATTTGAGCAACTTAGCGACATGCCAAGCAATATGCAAACCTTTCAAATTAAAAAAAGCCGGAAGCATGCTAAAACCACTAAAAGCCAGTGCAGAATACTGCTTAAAACTATACTACTGCATTTCCATCAAGCGCAAAACATGTGAATTCAAACTAGAAAAGTGAGTAATAGTTAATTGCGAGAACGCTCAGAAATGAGCGACGATTGAATTGCGTTGTTCTCATTGTTAAGGAATATGACTACAGATTTACATTTAATATAAATATCATTTTCATCTCAATGTTGTTTGCGATTTAGTGAAATAAACTTACAGTAAGATCAGAAGAAAATTTCACACATAAAAGGAAAAAGTGGGCAAAAAAGTTCTAGTGAGTTATCAAATTATCATTTTAACCGACCGTCGTGCATAAAACATGATAATCAGTCTTCCAGTACCACTTCGTTTTAAGCGGAGACGAACACGATTAAACGATGAGGTGCAATAAATAAACCCGCCAAATAAAAATTTCCAGATTACTACTGAGGAATAAGGATGCTGTGGAAAATCAGTTCACGAAAAAATGCTTCTGGGGAAGGAGCTCATTAAAAAAAAAAAATTTGACCATTACCAACTGGAAAGTTTGAAAAGCCTATTGACAATTAATTCCGTCGCAAAAAATAAGAAATAAAAACAAAACAAAACATATGAAAACAATCACCTCCATGCAATCTTTAGCAGAATAATAATAACAATTCTTCAAGCGTTTCTCGATTGTTGTCATATCCATTGGCCGTTTAATAACCTTATGGTACTCCTAAATAATAAGTCGCAACAATGCTTTGAAAAAATGAGAATGTGAAAATTTAGAAGGAAGTACTTACCGGCAGGCCTAACCGGGCAGCATCAACCGGCTTCATGAAGGGCCACGCATGCTTGTGGCGCATAGCTGGTTTCAAAACTTCTTTCATGATGAAATCCAATTGGTTAGTATGACGTGTAGGTTTCCCTGGTGGCGGTATCACACGAGGCTGCACAACACCATTCACAGGCTCCTAAACTAGGCAATGCTCGTTTCTACGCTTTAAGTTGAAAAATTCAAACAAATAGGACTCCCAATGATAAAAGTTGTAACGCCGATAGCTAAGTTGCTCATTGGCCTCAAAAAACAAGGACAAATTATCCACATCAGCTTTCGAACCAAATTCAAAAACCAGTACTATTTTCAAACATGAACATGAAAATTCACGCAAGCCAATTTGAAATGTGCGCTAAAAAATTAAAAGGAGTATAAAACACAGATCGCCTCTCATTAAAAAAAATTGAATTGACTATTCCAAGAAAAAAAGGGACTAGTCAATAATCCTCTATCACTAGTTATTGAAAAAAGCAGCTGGAAATGATAAAAAGGAATATAAGACAGAAAATAATCGTCAAATAAATTCTTATAACCTGTCGCGGGGACTCCCAGCCGCTAGCTCGCGACGAAACATCGTTGGTTTGTTCCTCATGTGTGTTATCACCAAGTGGGTTGTTTTCTGTGCTCGCAGCTAATTTTTCAGACGCCGGTGAATCTCCAGCTGGAACATTCCCACTTGTTGATACTGGCTCATTCACGTTCGTAGACGAAGTCGCTGGACCTGACATCGCCTGCAAATTCTTTCTTGATTCCATTCAAAACAAACTAACAAGTTTTCTACGACAATTCACCCCACGTTAGATTTGCAATCAAGTTAACCAGAACCGTGTTTTCAAACACATATGCGACCAACCCTACTAAAACAAATGAGTGCGAGAGTCAGCATCAGCCGAGGATGGTGAAAGCTCGCGTATCACACAGCACTTCAACGTCTTCGCACTTCTGCTGGACCGCGGATGGAACTTACAAACTTATAAAAAATAAATCCTTCGTAAAACAACAATACTCCAAATATCAAAATAGAAAGCAAGAATACAAATGAATTTCTATGATTTTAGAACAACACAAACTGATTAACCATCCGCTTAACAGTAACTAGTTCTCTTAAAAACAACGATGGGGCCATCCCAATCTTCAATAGAAAAACATCAAAAGAAAAAAGAGAAAAAATCTCTCGCAAAACACTAGGAGAAACGTAAGATAACTTTACTGCGAGTAGTCATTATTTTCAGGAACCCGAGATAAAGACAAGCAAAGAAATCGGAAGTAATTAATAATCAACACCTGGAACAAAAACAAAAACCAATTTCCGTAAGGGATTATTCCTAAACTAATAGGACTGTGCAAACCGAAAAGCAGATGAAGTGCAAACGACAGCTGGAACATCAAAGGTAACAGCTACTAAAAATGAGGTGACTGAGAGTCACAAATTGAGAAAAGACGTAAGAAAAGCATAAAGCTACTGAGTTTGGAAAAATCCTTAAATGAAACGACCGCAACTCTCTTTGTTACACTGTGGACAGGAAAAAAACCAATACATTTCCCGAACGTCAACAAACTTCCAGTAAAAAAAATAAAATGTAAAAGGCCCTTCGCCTACTTCGCCTACATCTTATTTCGTTTCAAAGCACGTTAAATGGTTCTAAAATTGAAATCGAAAAGAAACAGTGTTTTGTAAGTTTTTAAGCAAAGTGAACAGTAAAGACTAGAAAAAACTGAAGAAAGAATCAACAAATTCAGCATGCGCGAAAATAAGTACCACAGTACTGTTAGCGAATACTGGAGCACTGGAAATACTGGACAATATCGCGACAATAACGGTTACTGTAATAGCAGTAGCAGAAGAAAGAAGAAGAAAATGAAACAGAACAAACAAGTAAAAATATAAATTATTACGATGTACAGTAAAACTGACGATAATAAACAGCAGCAACATTATGTACTGGTGTTAACAGTAAAAACATTACACCGCTGAGGTGAAAGCAAGAACAAATAAAATCAGAATAAAATTAGATGTGAAGAGCGGATGAATAATGAAAAAGGTGTAGAATCACAAATTACAGGAATAGTACGAGAACTGAAGGACGCCAAAATATGGCAATAACTGCACAATAAAGTAAAGCCAAGCCGGCCGTGATGTAGTAGTACAGTAACAACAGTGATAGTATTAGTATGCCAGGAAAAAGTAATAAATTCAAATATTATAACGAGCGATAAACACGAGAACTACTGCAACTATAAAAATTAAGATAACAGTAACAGCTATAACAGCATCGAAATGGAGAATAGGGGGATGACAAAGGCGAGAAAAAAACGCGTGCCAGGTCAAAATAAAAATTTTGAGTTTGGCGCGCGAAATAATCAATAAACACCAATACGTGCCAAAACATCAGTTGGCACCGACTCAAAAACACTTTCGTATATTTCTGTCCTAAAACAACAATAACACACAATAGCGTTGAGAACGCGGGAGGACGCACAAACGCACATCTTTCGCACCCACCTCCAAAAACACGGGCAAAACATGTCCGAAGAAAAACGAACAAAAATGACGGGAATAAAATTTTTATACTGCTAAAGATCGTAATTTCTCGCAGTACGCCACTAGTTCTTTTTTTTACTTTTTTGAATTTGAAGAACAGAACTTTCCAACATGTGCATAAAACAGCGCTGTTGGTGCTACTGTCGTTGTGGCTGCTAGGATTGCTATTGTGGAAGAATCTGTGGCATTTACATGTTGTACTTTCTTTCTCAGATTTTGCTCCCTCAAAAAATTGTTACACGTCTGCTGAATCATCAGAACATAAAAAGAAAATCCACTCTTTCATGCAGGAGTCCCTCTCATCGGTGTAACCATTTCGACTACAATGTGAATTCTGTTATATCAGTAACATGCAGCTTTCTCACACGCACCAACGGAACCTCTTTTTGTTAAAATACTCACTCATTTAGGTCAGGAATAACAGCAACAGTTACAGCAATGGGCAAATGACTGCAAAAACTCTGCTAGAACGAAAAAGAGCAGTACTCTCTCCTATCCCGCTTCGCTTCCTAAAATCAACGCCGCTAAGGTTACGCACCAAGCAAAACCGTCACTTAAACGATCGTAACAACAGCGGTCAACAAACTGAAAACCAACCGAGTTCAAGACCATTTTCAATGCCTGAAAGAAGAAATCTCAGCAGTAAAGAAAGTAACCGTTTGTTTTTCTTCCTCCCTCCCTAAACATTTCCAGTGTCTCTCCAAGAAATTAACCATATCGAACTCATGCCTGTTAACTACTCCAACAATCGTATTCACCTAACTCTCCCTTACGGCACGACAAAAGTTCTAATAAAAATTTATCAAAGTCCTCCCAGCATTCAAAATTTTGTTAAGAATCATTTTAGTGGAAATGATGGTCCGCAAGAAAACAAAAACTTAACCAACGAGAAGAAGAATTAAAACCAAGCAACACCTAAAAAGTATTGGCAAAACAACCATGACAAGGGCTCTCTTTAAACGGAAAATTTTTTTCAAATTTTCATTAAAAAAGCTTATTTTACATTTTCCCATCATCCTTAGTCCCAATCCAGCTTTACTTATCCGAACTGGCCCTCGGTCACAATCCTTTATTGCTTTGTACACTTCTTCAACCCCTGCAACCCCAATATCTCTGGAATTCAAGAACACATACATCTGAAGAGTTTATTTTCGAAAATTACATGAATCACACAAAGATTAAAATTATATGGTGAAAATTAACACATTTGTGAGTTAAGCTGAAACCACTGAAAACTATTTCTGTGCAAAATTTTTGCAATGCATCAGTTTTCACAAATTTCCTCTCATTGCTGCCGCTGCCTTTATATTTTGGCTGCTGCTGCTCTGCTTTGCTGCCCTACAGCACATGCGCTGAGTATGTGCATTAGATACGCGAACGCATCCTAAACCGACTTTCGCAACCGCACAAATATACACTACGCCTCACTCCCAACTAAACCCGCAACGTCGCCTATATGGCGACTTGCCAACATAAAGACTACAGAAAACCGAGAGCCCAAAAAGATGTAGAGGAAAAATCGATTCAACCAACATCGACGCTTCCCCAAAAATTCTACTCGTCGAATACATTCAACTGATTGGCCCTTAAATGAAAAAAAAAAAAAAGTAAACTTATAAAAAAAATGAGCTTCTTATGCCACTGATTTTCGCAAGACTAAACGAGCTTTATCTTTTTTTTTCTTTTTTGCTTTCTCAGTGTCTTTATTCGCCCCAAAAAATAAATAAATAAATAAATAAAATAAAAAAATAAAAATAAACAAATGAATGAAATTGAAAACACAAGAAAAAAGAAAAAAAAGGGAAGTAGATGAAACATCAAAAAAGAGTTGAAACTAAACAAAAAAAAAATTTACAGAGAGAAAACGCAAATTTTTAACAAAAACTGACGAAGCAGAAACTTAGGGAGCAAAGAAGCTTGAAGAACCAGCATATCCGGACTAAATAATCCAAAAAACAACTATCACCAATTCAGTAAAGTCAAGTTACGTCTAAAAAACTTTCTAAGTAATGTCACTCTTAGAGGGGGAACCTTCAGCATAACTTTTTCTTTCAAAATACAATACATACACACCGAGAGGAGGGGGAGGGAGAAAAACAAGGGTAAGATATGAGGGTATACCGCCACCCACGTCGCCTTCCCCGATGTCCGCACACTCGACAAATGCAGGCCGCCCGGCCGCGTGTCATCCCTCTTAAAGCACACTCTAATGTGATTGGCTGTTGCTATGGCAACGACAGTTTCAATTCTGTTATACGAATTTTGAATGTCTTAAAAAGAATAGTATCGTACAGCAGGCGCACTGCCAGAAATTTTTGGATGAGAAATTTTCAAAATTTCTCGCTTTACAAAGCGAGTAACGAGAAGTTACATGGGCGACAACGTTATCCGTCCTTCACAGTAATTCTAAGGTGCACTTCGCTAATTATAAAGTTAACTATCTCTGAAATGTACTGAAATGTACACGGCAGGTTTATTCCGAGTAATAATGGTTGGACAGTTAAAATTTGTCTTCTTTGTTTGCTCCTTCAGCAAAATTTTTTTTAAATTTTTTCCTTAGTAGTTGTAGTGCTGAAATTTGTATACATGTGGATGGTCGTTGCTGGCAGTATTACCTGCAATCATTTTGACCTTTGAGGTATGGGCATAGGCATACTGGTGGCAGACTTTAAGTCTCTTTTGGAATTTTTACCATACAACTTTAAAACTGCAAGTATTGTTATATAATGGGGTGTCTTGACCGTTATATTGGATGTCTATTGTTAATCGTTCGTTTGAGTGCTTTTGGTTTATTCACTTGTGAAAGAAGTAGCTTCAT